ACCGTTCTTTGTTGCTTAAAAGCTGCATCTCCTTCTTTTGGTGCAAAATAAGAACGTCTAGACAGGGCATCGGACAAACCTTGTTGTTTTCCTGGCCGATAAGTGATAATGAAGTCGAATCTTGACAAAGACATACTCCAACGAGCTTGACGACGATTCAACACGCGTGCTGACATGAAATACTCGAGGTTCTTGTGATCTGTATACACAGTGACTGGACTAGAAGCACCTTCTAGATAATGACGCCATTCTTGAAAAGAATCCACGATTGCAAGAAGTTCTTTATCGTGGATCTCATAATTGATCTCGACTGCTGAGAATTTTCTTGAATGAAAAGCTATCGGATGAAGTTTGTCATCTGTTCCCATTTGTGATAAAACTGCACCCAAGGCAAAATCCGATGCGTTTGTTTCCATAAAAAATACCTTGGAAAAGTCAACACGATATAAGACTGGTGCAGAGACAAACGATGTCTTCAAGGCTTCAAATACTACTTCCGCTTCTTGATTCCATTGGAATTTATCTTTACTAGTCAAGCGTGTAAGTGGAGCTGCAACTCGTGAGAAGTCTTTGATGAAGATCCGATAGTAATTGGCAAATCCCAAGAAACATTGGACATCTCTTACAGTCTTTGGAATCTTCCAATCCATGATTGTTTGGACTTTCTTAGAATCCATCATAAGACCATCATTTGAAATGATGTATCCTAAAAAGTCAACTTGAGTAGTGTGAAATACACACTTTTCTATCTTGGCGTACAATCCTGCATCTCTAAGTTTTTGTAATACTTGACGAACATGTATTTCATGTTCTTCAACATTCTTAGAATAAATCAGGATATCGTCTAGGTAGCAGACGACAAAATTGTCTAAGAATTCACGAAATACATCATTCATGAGATGTTGAAAAGCAGCTGGTGCATTCGTGAGTCCAAAAGGCATGACATTGTATTCAAAGTGTCCGTACCTGGTTCGAAACGGAGTCTTCCATTCATCTCCTTCTTTGATCCGTACTAGATTATATGCTCCTCTTAGATCTATTTTTGTATAGATCTTAGCTTGATTTAACTGGTCAAGGAGTCCTGATATCAAAGGTAATGGATACCTGTTCTTGATTGTGATCTTGTTGAGTCCTCGATAGTCAACACACATTCGTAAAGATCCATCTTTTTTCTTTACGAATAAAATTGGAGCTCCTGCTGGAGATTTTGAATGGCGTATGAAATTCTTCGCTAAATTCTCGTCAATATATGTCTTGAGTTCAGCCAACTCATCTTGCGATAAACTGTAAATTGGTCCAAATGGTGGCTGAGTTCCTTCCTTGAGATCGATTGAACAATCGTATGGGCGATGCTCAGGAAGAATATCTGCATTCTTTTTCTCAAAAACGTCTTGATAATCTTGATATTGACTTGGAATGCCACTTGAAGTCTTTACGCTTTCAGAAATAGGTGCAGCATAAATAGCAAAAGTTGATCCTTCTTTTGCTGCGTGTATAAATGCTTTTGCACCTATAAATGCGGGTTTTACTATACTAGACTCATGGTTTTTTACTTGATTAATAGAACTGTTACTAATGCTCCGAGGAAAATCAAGTTTACGAGAAATCCAATCTATTCGAGGATTATACTTTTTTAACCATGATAAGCCTAAAATTACTGGATTAGAGGGAGATCTAATTATATTAAAAATTACGCAACTACTATGACCATTTATTACTACATCTACAGGAAGTGTTTCGTGAGTTACATCTCCAGAAGACAACGGACGACCATCTATGACTTCTACGTGTACAGGTTTAGTTTTTTGTATTAATGATATTCTATGACATCTAGCAAATTCTTCATCTAAAAAACAAGCTGAGGCTCCTGAATCTATCAAGGCAGAGGCTTTGTAATTATTAGGTCCTAAACACACATCTATTATAAAACAAGGAGATGGTTCTGAGGAGAGGATAGGACCTTCATTAGAAGTTGTACAAGATTCCAGCCGCACGGTCCCTATTGTAGCTGGACGTACTCGTTTTCCGACATACTGTCTTCTTTGACAGCCGTACTCCTCATTTTGTAGTTACGTCGCTTCTTTGGACAATGTTGAGCAGTGTGCTTAGGTTCTCCACAATATAAGCACAATCCTTCTTGTCGACGACGAGACTTTTCTTGCTCAGTAAGAGGTTTGAAACGTACCGCATCAATTTGCATATCCTCTACTTCTGAAGGTATGTGTTGAGGAGACGTCGGTGTTGCCATTGAATTGTAGTAACATTGAGGCCCACTTGTGCGACTCTTGGATCGAAATTCAAAAAGTCGATTGTCGCACTTCACAGCAAAGTCAATTGCTTGACTCAATGTTTGAGGATCAGGTAAATTAAGCATCAATTTCTTTACCTCATATTGTAATCCGTAGAGAAATTGACTCACAAGTGCGGCATCATCCCACTTGATATCAGTTGCAAGTTGTCGAAATTGTGAAGCATATAATGTTACTGATCGATTGCCTTGTCGCAAAATACGGATCTTGTTGGTTGCAACACGAATTGCATCATGTTCTCCAAACATGGATCGAAACTCCGTCAAAAAAGCCTCCAGATTATCCAATATTGGATCTCGTCGTTCAAGAAAAGATGAAAACCATGACAATGCTGAACCTGAAAGAAGTGTACCAATGAATCTAACTTGTGACCCTGGAGTTGGATAGCTCTGGGGTTGAAGTTCAATCACTAGTTGGACCTGATTGATGAATCCTCGAAACTTGGATCTGGTACCATTAAACTTCTCGGGCAAGGCAACTCTCGGTTCTCTAACACTCGAAGGGTGTTCCATTCTGGGAGAAGGGACATGGTTTGGTGCAGATGTTGAAGCAGCCCCAATCATCTCTATATCTTCACTTCCTACCATTCTTGTTGCTCCTTGTGGTGGTAAATTGAGTTGATGCATCGCAAGCATTAACTCCCTCAATTGTTCTTGCATCTGTGCCATTGTACTCTTCATTTCAACAAGCTCTGCCATAGTAGCACTTAGAAAAGAGAAGATGTCTAATAACGCTCAAAACAAATAGAAGAGAGGAATTGATAACAAAGAAAAATACTAAGAACAATATCAGTTTAAAAGAGGGTAATCCGCAACTTCTAATGCGCTTATGTCTTATCAAGAAAAAGGGGTAATCCACTCTTAATCAAGAAAAGACAAAGCTCTGATATTGTAAGTGTACTCTTGTCAATCTGTCAAGGACAAGAACTCGATGAAAGCTAAAGAGTAAGTGAGACTTTTCTCAAAAAAGAAATAGGACAAAATAGAAATATGTATATTAAGAAAGAAACTGGAATGGCTATTGCCAAAATACAAGAAAACTAGAGACCCTTGAAACTAGACTAGAAGCAAGAAAAGAGATTGACAAGAGTGAAGAAGCCTTCACTCTTGTCTCTATATATACTATCTAACTAGGGGCTACGTGGCGACGTTCTATAGGACCTCCAATATGTGTTGACTTTGTAGGACACATGCCTTGACTTACAAGGCAAGTTTTCCTACGTGTGGGCCACATAGTTAGCTTGATCTTCAAGCTAACAACATGTGTGGGACATGGCCAACTTGTTGACCACGTTTCTAATCCAAAAAGTCAATTAAAGACACCTATGAAGTCAAAGCAGCGTCTAGGAAGTTTCTAGGAAGCTTCTATATTAAGTATTATACAATTAACTTACTTTTATCTACTTTTACTTACTTCTACCTATTTCTATATGTAATTATTAGCTTATATGATTATGGCCGTGACACCTATGAACTATCTTTGAAGGAAACAAAAATTAGAATATGTGTCAAATATAATTTGTCGCATCTTAGACTATTCAACATATGATCACATGTTCTTTGTTGAACTTGTTCTTGAAAGAGGGAATAATATCATAGACATATATAATTACTTAGATAAGAAGAATTATATAGAAGTTAATTGTGAATAAGTTTGATAATATCTTAGTATGAAGCTTCTTAGAAGCTATATAGATGCACATTTGATTTTATATATATATTTGTAGGTAATTGGTAGGTTATAAACTTAGTCAATAAGCTGGCTATGTAGTATTTATATAAATAACTTGTCTTGTAAAGTAGACATATATCTCACAAGTTAGATATGTATCAGATGTCCTATAAAACATTGCCACATAGCTCTTATTTAAATGGTATATATAGAGGAAAGAATAAAACTTTCTTTACTCTTGTCAACACCTTTCTTTTCTTTAGTTTTCTTTCAAGAGCCTATAATTTTCATGTCTTTGACAATAGCCATTGTAGTTTAATATTATACCATTTAAAAATAATTATTTACTCTTTTTTAGTAATACAAAAATATATCAACCATTTGATTCTTTATCATTTATATCCTTGATACTATCTTACAGATTCTATAGAATGATCTTCAAATTGAACTAAAAAATGAATATAATCTTATAAAATGAAGTTCTTTATTCATTGCCTTAAAAAATAATAATAATAATAATAATTAATAATTAATTTTATAAATATTTTTATATTTCTAGTCTAAAACTAATGCTATTAAGATTGATCAAAGTAGTAAAAAAGAATTTTGGTTGTCTTCAATACACCATCTTTAAAGATTATTAACTATACTTGTAATAAATTTCATCACAACTTTCAATTTTAAGAGACAAAAAATCTTTAAGAATTATTTTTTCATAACTAATTTCAATTTTTACTATGGCTTCTTTCTAGGATTGAGCTTTCATTGGCCTTCTATCCTTCTCCAATTATAAGTACATTCACAACTTTTAAACTTGTTCAATATGTTTGTTGGATGAATTTCAAATGTTTATCCAACAAGATTTCAAATCAATTTCAAATGTTCATCTTCACTTGTATTGGATTCTACTTGGCTGTAGCCTTACATCCCTATTACAATTACTTGTGGAGATCCATATTTTTTCACCAATATCCTTGAATAATATTGAATATCTAGCAGAACCTACTATTTGTCTTGTTGTAAAAAATGGCGGATATTTGACTTTATAAGATAAATATAAATATAAGTCCTACACAATTATTCAAAACACAAGGAGTTCTACAGCATTCTAGATTTTAATGTTTTTCATGAATTATGCTGATCTCTTCAAAGCATATGCCATAATATTTTGATGGCATCATAAACACCATGGATGATTTACAATTTTTGGTAGAAGAGCATGTCAGGCAGGTACTAATTCTTCATGGATGCTACAAACCAAACGACTGTCTTTCTTTCAAGGCATAGCTCATGTTATGAGTTAAATTACCTTCAATGAAGATTCATTCCAAAAGCTTGAGAGATGGATCACCAAAGCAGCAGCTATAATTCCTAACAGCTTCGGTGCTGGACATAATTCTATTGAGAGTGAGAGACTGCAGGTTGAATGGAAGCTTAAGACTAGTCTTCGGTGATTTGAAGGCTCCGCCCAAGGTCTGACGAAGACGGGTTGAAGATCTTGGCGATGGCTAATCCAGCGTGCATTCCATCAACAGCGGCACTCACTATACCGCCAGCATATCCAGCTCCCTCACCAACAGGGAAAAGACCCGGTAGCGACACACATTCGTAGGTATCCTTATCACGGTCAATTCGTACAGGAGAGCTGGTTCTTGTCTGCATGATGCGTCAGAACAGGCTTCTCAGATTGCTGAATACTAACGTGGGGACAACTACATTTAAAACGCTTGGTCCCATCAACTTCGTAGTATCCAGGGAATCAGGATCACCAATTAAACATGAAGACAGAGAGGGATGCAGATTACCTCAATCGCATGAAGCAGGCCATGCTCCGTTATGAATCCAGGTAACTGCACAAATTTATCAAGATAGTGTCAAACCACGATTGCTCAGAACATAACTGCCTTCCATTGCGGAGCTGGGTGACATTTTCTTGTGACATGGCTTATTCATTTACTTGTGGTTCAACCCACTAAGACCATCCACAAGAAAGGGCAAGGACCAGCTGATGGATGTGAGGCACCGAAAATCATCCTCTTGACAAAAGTGAATTACTTACTTGGTCATTGAAGGCGAGTAGAGCCTCTCTCAAGGCGCGAGTGAGGTGCGATGGTAATAGCTCATGCAAAGGAGCAGCTCGAACACCAAGTCGATAACTGGAAGACGGCAATTCATTTCCTGAAAATCGAACACAACAAGTCACGAGGAAAATCTGACAAAAAGCTGTAGTCAATGATGAAGTTTTTGCTCGGCAGTATCTTCAATAAAACAGTAAACGAATAGAACTGAAGCAAGGGTGTAAATCACAGGATTGAAAAGAATAATAATAGTAATAATAGAATTAAAATTCAAAAACAAAACAAAAAACAAGGAAGAAGAAGAAGAAGAAGATCCGGCTAGGCTTTTCTATTAAGCGGCCAACAACAGCAGCCAAAAATATTTCGGGAGACATGTGGGACCTGACAGCTTGCCCTCCATGAAGTCTGGGATGGTTTGTGCAGGGGCTACAAGCTTGCCTCCTCCAAGGATTGCTGCATCTCTTTCCAGCGCCCTCTGAACAGAATCCAGAAGCATTACTTTCAGTATGAAACATCACGGTTGTCAATATCTTTGTTAATAGGTATTTGAAACATTGTTGGATAAAAATTTCTCAATAATTTGTAGATGATATATTTCTATGCCAGGCTGGGTACAATGAGAAACAATAAGGAACGAGGAAAGCCAGGAGGAAATGCACAATAACTCTAAGTAAACCAGTGCGGCGGAGCATATAAACCTCAAATCGTGCTCACAGCTAGCTTATATAATTCTAAACAGAGGCAACATCTTAAATCTCGGATGAAATGAGGAAATCGAACCTGAAACGCAATGCCTGCAAGTGGACCATGCTCCCCAATCAAGGGATCGAAGTCCGCCGATGGTACAGTAACTACGAGAGCAGAATTCGCCCACTTCGATGACCGCTTTGAGAAAGACATACCATTGATACACAGCTCGGACTCATCAGTGCTGGTTGGCACAATCTGGCAAAGTCGAGAAACAAAGACATATCGTGGCAGTTAATATCGACAAGCATATATACACAGACAGCGACATGTCTAATAGATGTGAGGACTGGATTTTAGCAGTATTTACTTTACATAGTTACTGCCTTGCAGTTTGATTTTGAATACAAACCTGGCCACCTGGGCACATGCAGAAAGAATAACACCCACGACTAAGAACCTCATCTTCTTTGATATTCATGGCAACTCTGTAATCAGCAACGGGGAGTTTGCCTTTCCCACGTTGCACTTCGGAGGCCCATTTGTGGTACTGCAAAAGAGAAAACCTCATAAAATAAATGAGAGCAAGTGGCAACAGTAACTTAATCAAGAATATTTGCGTGATACGACACCATGTGAAACAACACATTCGGCTAGTTTGTCGCTCATTATTTGAAGTAAGGTAACCATGAAGTACAAATCCCAAAATAGATCACAAGTCAAGGTAGTAGGACAGTTGCAATTCTGGAACAAAGATGTGACGTAAAAAGCAATATTCATTATGCTCAAGTAAGATCATGTTGCAAACGCGGAAAGCTACTAAGATACCTGTATTTCATTTATGAGCTCTTGGGGATGTTCAACACGGAATCCAACCTGTGATGTAATCATCCACCATTAGTGCCAGGAAAATCAATAATAACTGCTAGAGGAATCAATGTAAGCTTTCATTGAAAAATAACACTGTATCCTAATCTAAATGATAATTGGCCTGCTACCACACATAGAACTGGTCTAGAATGTATATTAATCTTACAGCAAAATCCTTCGGAGTCATGAGGACATCGTGACTCTGGAGGTTGTAATAAACATCACGGGCAGAGTGGCCCACACCAAGGACAACAGCATCAGCTTCGAGAATAGTTGGACAAGCACTTTCAGAGTTTTCGGACACAGGGGATACATGAACACCCACTAAGCGCCCGTCACGAACAACGAGATCATCCATTCTAGTTCCAAAGAGAAGTGTAACCTGCAAAATTCCCAATGTCACAACACTTGCTTCCATCATAAATCCAAGAATATCAAAGCTTAAGATAAACCTTATATCAGAATTGAAATGCCTGAATCAAAGCTCCTTCCAGTTCACTTCCTAAAGTATTTTGGCATACAACTAAGACGCGGATTAGAGGACACAATATCGTTCATGTAAAGAAATCAAGACACTCTGTAGAACATTTGAGGCACACCGAGGTCGTTGAGATTGATACAAGATATGAAGGAAAACGAACAGAAACCACAACCACATTCCAAAAACGAATAAAAATCAATAGGGTATGGGCAAAAGCCACTACACCAAGAGCGCTCAAGTGCTGACGAAAGGACCGTAGGATATGGATAAGCCGGTCCGTCCCGACATGGGGCTTCCCATCCATGAGTATACTGGCTGGAGCTCCGAAGCGGACCAGAGTCGCTAACACCTGCACGTGAAATTAGCATTAGACTTGTATTACAGTCATGATTAGAAGTCATGAGACATAGAATACTTCATGGTCACGCTTGCATGAGCTTCCCTGAAATCCTACAGAAGTTTTGGTAAAAGTTATGGTCTTCACGGTCAGGCACGAACGATCATAACAACCCAGATACACAAGAGAGGCCATTAAACTAACTCGGTATAGTTACAAAAACGTACTTACAATACAAGCATGAATTCCGATAGTTCTAGGCTATAATATTTTCATCTCCTATAAACTGAAGAGAAAAGAGAAAATACTAACAGCTTGCACACTGCCACCATTCTTTCCGATGCGAGTAGTCAATTTTCCATCACTCCAAGTCCCCGCTCCTCCCTTCAGAATATGAAAGACATTCAAGCCAGCCGTTATGGCGATTCAAAGTTACTTTTTTTAATGATAAACTCAACACCCAATCATTTAATAAAAGCTCATAATACCCTTCGTTTTCTTATGAGAAATAAAACTCCTTCTGTTTTTAGCATGACTACTTTCACTTTAAGGAACTGCTAGCATTATTACAAATTACAATGTCAAAGCAAGTAAATATACGAAAATGTTTGTACATCGTTGGACAATAGGAGCTTCATAATAAGATCTCATGAAACCTAACAATAGAGCGGGCACAAACCTCTCCGTAACAGAGATTACTTTCTGCATTCAACAAACGACGAACCATGAGAGCGCCAATGTCTTTGCCCCGACCTTCCACAGGTTGTCCCCTCTCCACAAGTGTAACTTTCGCTCCACTTTCGGCAAGCACTAAAGCAGCAAACAATCCTGCTGGTCCGCTTCCCACCACTACAACTTTTGCCATTTCATGACCTATAAGCCAATCATACATAATGTAATAAGTTTCATAATTACAATGCTCGGCAACTAGCATGAAGAAAATGCATCGCACAGACTTATGGAAGTTTATACATGACAGAAACTCACCAGATCTACGGCCTGTAGTTGAGGCATTCGAGGTCCCCCTCTGTTCCAAATCAGGGCCCTGAAATTGTGCATCACCTTCAGCTGCCAATTCAGTACTAGAGGAGGCTACTCGGGTTTCTCCTTCGCGTGCAAGAACAGAAACGACGTCCAATGGCGCCCACGGCATTTTGGAGAATTCAAGCCTTGCGGGCTTCACACCTAACTTGGACAAGATTAGCTTAATCTTCGGATTTTGCTTCATACATTCCTCTATGTCCAGCTCCACTGTGTACACAAACTTGAGATCCTGCAAAAAATTGACACAAACGTTAAAGCAAGTTTTAATCAAAACAAGTACAAGTTATCAAAACAATTGAGAAAAAACTAAACAAAATCGCATTGCACAAAAATCAAGTCCAGAAACTAAATAAAAACAAAAAGGATATTAAGAGTGTCGGGATTCAATGGCACCCAATTGAGTACCTTGCGAGCATCGAACGACTTGCGAATTACCGTCAGACCCGAACGTGGAAGCATTTCAGGCTGCAAATTCACATGGAATTACACAATGTCATACCCACATGATCATGCCCAGCCCTGAAACCTGAAAATCTAAACCCTACACGAAAAGCCTAAACCCTGCACCGACTTTTCAGAGGGTGTACATTTCAGGCATGTCAAACGACCAGCATTATCCTCATATCAAGCTTAAATATGAAATGGATTGGAAATTTCAAAGCCTCACCTGGCAACCAAGCGCTCCAGCAGTCGACTCTAACACAGCATCCGAAACCTCATAACTGTCCTTCCCTGAGTCCTTGTCCAAGGGGACCTCAACCCTGTAAATTCTAAAGTACCCTGCACTCTCCATAATTGTCTTACGTCGGCCCGTATTCCCGCCCATCTGTCGCTCCACAGCCAGCTCTTTGGCTGCGTCATCTTTCCTCCTAAAGTAACTCCCTCGTCTAGCATAACTCCTCTCAGCCGAATCATAGAAGCTCCTCTTGCTGTCTGGTTTGCCCCGAACCGCAGAGCCTTGTACACTGGTTCGGAACGTCACTCTCTCTGAGCCTGCCCCAGCTGGGGAACCCAACTGCGAAAAACTCTTCGGAAGCTGGGGCAGGAACAATGAGTCCGCCAAATTCTGAGCAACAACGAAGGACATGATGCCCCGGCACTAATCCAACAAACCAGAATACAAACAAGGAATGCTCAGTCAGACCAGCTTGGACTCACAGCAGCTTCCACTGCCCCATCGGAGCTCCCCCACCAAATCTACAGCGCTTCTGAAGATGATGAGATGGGTCGTTAATTTTTTGCTGTGTAAAACAAAATCGAGGTGCAGGTCGATGATTGAAGCTCAAGATCACACAGACAATGCGGTGCAAAGAGAGAAACAGCGAGAGAGAGTGACATCTTCAAGCGCTTGGGACAGACCCAGACGCACACCTTCAGTGGATGAGGATGAGATCCCGTTGACGAGATTGGTAACTAAATTATTCATCCCGATCTCATCCTTGCTCGGAGCACGGTTTAAGGGCACACGGCTCCGGTGCTACCACCGCGCAATTGGGTCCTTGTCCGTGTAATACGCCCTCGTGTGAATCGGTTCATTTCTAAGTAACCAATTCGTTGATATCAACAAAGATAATTTTTTTAATACGTATTTACAAAAAAATAATAATATTGTCAAAGAGTTTCAGAAAATTCAGATTTCTGGGTCTGAAAAACACTTTTCTTTTACATCAAATGCACCTATTTAATAATATTTCCTGTATGAAAAGGTATCTATAAATTGTAATTAAATGATGCAGATATCATTGACTGTTAATTACAGTTAAATAAACAAGATATGATATTTTTATGAAATTAGCTCTTTTTTGATAAATTTTTCCAAGATATCTAAATAACATTTTGAAGTTTATAAACTGTTTTAAAAAAAAAACTACAACTGCAACTACAACTTAAGGCCTTACAACCAAATTCTTTTCAATTTTAATTAGTTTATTTTTATTTTTTCTATTAATTTAAATCTTACAGAATACAAAGATATGAAGAACAGTTTTTTCAGATCCTTAATTTTTCTATTTATTTGAAAATAACTTACTCTCTCAAGCATTAATTTGGTAATTACTTTTCTAAAAAAAAAAAAAACAAAAAAACTTCTCAAAGAATTTGAAATCTTTAGGCTAATACGTTGATTATTTGTAAAGACTTGTGTTTTTGGGTACAAAAAAGTTGTAAACTTGGTTTTTAATGTTGAAAATCAACAACTTCAAAAGAAATGTCAATCTAAAAATAAAAATAAATATAAATAAATATAAATCCTAAAAACAATTATGAAGATAGTTCTTTATACAAGCTTTGAAAAAAAAAATACATATAACTTTCTTGACACAAAAAGCTAATAATTTGTATTATCTTTTATTTATAAAAAATTAAATACTTCAAAAAAAAAATCTAACTTCAATTTCTCATATGTATGTAACTCAGTTTTATTTATATTTGAATAAATATTATTTTTTAAAATTCATATCATATTATACTTGAATAAATATTATATTTATACTTCTTATTTTAGAATATATAGCCAAAAAAGATGTTTATGATAACTATAAACATGATTAAGATACCATTCAATTGAGATACTATTATTAGTAAATTATAAAAGTAATACCTTACATGATGCACAATCTCTTTAATTTCTCCAATTGTGATTTATGTTTAATAAGAATCTACTTATAAGTGTGTTCATATTGTGTGTGTATATATATATATATATATATATATATATATATATTCAAGATTTTTAAATAGACCCAAGCTTTTACTAAATTTATCCACCCATCATGAAAGAAAAATAAATTAATAAATAAATAAATAAATTATATCTAGATTTATTTCTTCACTATTGGATCCAAAACTAATGAAAAATAACATATTCTTCATCACAGATAGGTCGATTCTGTAAAAAACTTGGTCTATTTAATATTCTATTCCATATATTCTTATTTTCTAAATAATATAAAAATTATCAATTGAAGTTTTAAAAAATCAATCCTAATAGGAATTATTTTATAAAATCGCTCTCTCTCTCTCTCTCTCTCTCTATATATATATATATATATGTATGTATTTTTGTTAGATTTTATTGTTTACAAACTTTAATAAAGCAACTTATTTATAATTATTTTTTAAAATAAATCTAATTGAATTTACCATAATAATTAAAAATAAAATATAAATACAAAAAATATCTATTGAATAATATATAATCTAATGTAAAATAAAAGAAGAAGAATTAGTAAAAATCATCTTACATTTAAGAATAAAAATCAATTACTTCAGCTATAATTTTAAATAAAGATAATTAAAATATCTTTATACTCGATTTATAAATAAAAATATTAAATTATAGTAGTATTTTCAATTTTAATATTAAAGAAGTAACACATGAGTCAAATAAACCTTCTTTTTGTTTCTAACAAAATATCTAAAATAATTCTTGAAAAGTTTGTAGACTCAAGATTCTTCAATGTCAATTTCATTGCTTATTTTTCTTGCTGCATTGTATTGAGACTTATAGTACTTGTTATGATATTCTATTATTGAATCTTAATATATTTTTATATAATAAAGATAATAAATTTCATTTATTTATATTTTATTTTTTTAATGAAAAGTAGTATATTATCTTTTAAATTGAAATATTACTTGAAAAACATATTTTAAAAAGAAATTAAATTAATAAAGTAAGATATATCTACTTACTAGCAAATGTATATAAATATAAATATATATATTTATTCTTTTAGATATGTTTAATTAGCATTAAAAAAATTATTATTTTTTAAAATAAAATTGTAAATTTATTTTAATAATTCATATTACTTTTATAAGCCTTTTGATAATCAAGTATATTCATTTTTCAAATATATCTTTTAAAATATTAAATTTTCTATTTAACTCATTTTTATTTTATTTTTTGTTTTCTTACTTTAATTTTTAAAAACAATTGTGTCATATATACATGTTGATGACACACGCACACACACACACACACACACACATATATATATATATATATATATATATATATATATGTGTGTGTATTTCTATAGTTTATATTTGTCATATTTGTATCTATATATATATATATATATATATATATATATATACATATGTGTATGTGTGTGTGAGTCTTTTAATATTATATTAAGAGTTGAATATGAATCACAGACATATTCATGTAAACTAGTAATTACATATACAAATAGGTAGAAGTAAGTAAAAATAGGTAAAAGTAAGTTAATTCTATAGTATTTAATATGAAAGCTTCTTTGAAGCTTCATAGACGTTTCTTTGACTTCATAGGTGTCTTTAATTGACTTTTTGGATTAGAAACGTGGTCAATAAGTTTGCCATGTGCCACACATGTTGTTAGCTTGAAGATCAAGCTAATTATGTGGCCCGCACGTAGAAAAACTTGCCTTATAAGTCAAGGCATGTGTCCTACAAAGTCAATACATATTGGAGGTTCTATAGAACGTCGCCACATAGCCCCTAGTTAGATAGTATATATAGAGACAAGAGTGAAACCTTCTTCACTCTTGTCAACTCCTTTCTTGCTTCTAGTCTAGTTTCAAAGGTCTCTAGTTTTCTTTTCTTTTGGCAATAGCCATTCTAGTTTCTCTTTCAATATATATACTTATTTATTTATATTTTGTTACCTTTCTTTGAGTGGAGGCTCACTTGTTTAGATTATTTTTTCATCGAGTTCTTGTCCTTGTGTCACGGACATACATATAATTACCTATATGAATAGATAAAAGTATGTAAAAGTAGATAAAAGTAGGTTAATTGTGTAATATCTTCTAGAGAAGCTTCTTAGAAGCTTCATAGACGCTGCTTTGACTTTATAGGAGTCTATAGTTGACTTTTAGGTTAGAAACTTGGTCAACAAGTTAGCCATGTACCACACATGTTGGAAGCTTAAAGAACAAGCTAACTACGTGGTCCATCCATAGAAAACTTGCCTTGCAAGCAAAGGCATGTGGCCTAGAAAGTCAACATATATTGGAGGTCTTATAGAACATCGCCACGTCGCTTCTAGTTAGATAGTATATAAAGAGGCAAGAGTGAAGCCCTCTTCACTCTTGTCAATCTCCTTTCTTGCTTCTAGTCTAGTTTCAAGGGTCTCTAGTTTTCTTGTATTTTGGCAATAGCCATTCTAATTTCTTTCTTAATATACATATTTCTATTTTGTCCTATTTCTTTGAGAAAAGTCTCACTTACTCTTTAGCTTTCATCGAGTTCTTGTCCTTGACAGATTGACAAGAGTACACTTACAATATGAGAGCTTTGTCTTTTCTTGATTAAGAGTGGATTACCCCTTTTTCTTGATAAGACATAAGCGCATTAGAAGTTGCGGATTACCCTCTTTTAAACTGATATTGTTCTTAGTATTTTTCTTTGTTATCAATTCCTCTCTTCTATTTGTTTTGAGCGTTATTAGACATCTTCTCTTTTCTAAGTGCTACTATGGCAGAGCTTGTTGAAATGAAGAGTGCAATGGCACAGATGCAAGAACAATTGAGGGAGTTAATGCTTGCGATGCATCAACTCAATTTACCACCACAAGGAGCAACAAGAATGGTAGGAAGTGAAGATATAGAGATGATTGGGGCTGCTTCAACATCTGCACCAAACCATGTCCCTTCTCCCAGAATGGAACACCCTTCGAGTGTTAGAGAACCGAGAGTGGCCTTGCCCGAGAAGTTTGATGGTACCAGATCCAAGTTTCGAGGATTCATCAATCAGGTCCAACTAGTGATTGAACTTCAACCCCAGAGCTATCCAACTCCAGGGTCACAAGTTAGATTCATTGGTACACTTCTTTCAGGTTCAGCATTGTCATGGTTTTCATCTTTTCTTGAACGACGAGATCCAATATTGGATAATCTGGAGGCTTTTTTGGCGGAGTTTCGATCCATGTTTGGAGAACATGATGCAATTCGTGTTGCAACCAACAAGATCCGTATTTTGCGACAAGGCAATCGATCAGTAACATTATATGCTTCGCAATTTCGACAACTTGTAACTGATATCAAGTGGGATGATGCCGCACTTGTGAGTCAATTTCTCTACGGATTACAATATGAGGTAAAGAAATTGATGCTTAATTTACCTGATCCTCAAACATTGAGTCAAGCAATTGACTTTGCTGTGAAGTGCGACAATCGACTTTTTGAATTTCGATCCGAGAGTCGCACAAGTAGATCTCAACGTTACTACAATTCAATGGCAACACCGACGTCTCCTCAACACATACCTTCAGAAGTAGAGGATATGCAAATTGATGCGGTACGTTTCAAACCTCTTACTGAGCAAGAAAAGTCTCGTCGTCGAC